GGCGGTGCTAGGTCCACCCAGGTGTCTTGCACAGCTCAATGGTTGCCATGGGAGATTAAAGGATTTCTCAAATGTGCATAAAAGAATCAAGACAACACTCCAGGTAAGTTTTTGACGAGGGAATAGCATTATAACATGATATAAAGCTCAAAAAAGTCACCTTTTCATAATACTACCCCTTTAACATCTTAAGTATGCATAACTTTTAAATGTTTAGGGTCCTCTTGCGCACAGCTGTACTTTGACTACTGTCCACAATAGTCGCTAAATAATTTCAAACTGAGGTGTGTCAGGCTAAAGCTTCAAGTTTCCCTTAGTAATTCTCTGAACGTACCACCCCGTTAACAGAGAGAAGCTGGTCGCCTCTTTTAAGGCCTCCATGTCGGTCAGCGATGCCTGCCGGGATGATCCGTGAGATGTAAATCGGCGAGTTTTGCTCCTTTCCGCCCATTATGTTAAAACCCAAGCCTTCCTCTGTCTTGGGTAGCTCCACCACACGTGGATGCGAGTGTCCTTCACTTGCTGCAAAAGCTGCCACGGTTGCCTAAAAATAAGCAAACTAGCTCATTTAGCACTTGGAAATATGCTGCAATCAAAGGAAAATGTCTACCGATGCAATAGGAATTGAAGGTAATTGTGGATTAGAGAGTAATCCGAAGCCTACCTTAGCTGTGGCGTTGGCTCTGACTTCAGGACTGCTGTTAATGTCCACCGTTTCGTACACATGCTCATAAACCTAAAGGTGCACAAAAATAACCCAAATTACCAAATCAATGCACCAGGATAGAAAATAGACAATCCAATGTTCAAATAGTCTCACTTCTCTGACAGCGTTGCAGAATTCACTCTGCAAGACCCTCTGCAGCGCCTGCAGCTTTTGAGGAGGAACTTCCCCCGTCCTCTGCAGCTTATCAAGCAGCTCAATTGCACGGTTGATATCTGTCGACCAGAACATATGCAGATCCATCACAGTGTAATATTCACAAATGAATCAACAAACTTCATTTGAGCACTAAGCCATGATTTTAGGCAGCCTATTTGTTAAGTAACCCACAGCAGGCTAGCTTCCCAAGCAGATAGGCCAATCAACTAACCAGCTGATGTTTTTAGATATTGTACTTCTGTTACCATGTAAAGATTTAAATAGCAAAAAATGCTACATCGTCACCTTCCGAAGATTATGGCCAAAGCCATTTTTATTTACTTAAGCTATAATTTTATAAAGATGACTATATGTTACCTACAGTATAAAGTAAGAGTCCCAGTGTTAGCCGAAACAGAAATATTAAAATTAAAAACAATTTAGTCATAGTATTATATATATGTGTTGAAACTAGAGCAGCAAGGTATTAGAAAACCAAAGAATTGGGGTATAATTGTTATAGATTGTGATCAACACAAGTTTTCTACTCTTCTCCATGTTCCCGTAAGCTTAAGCATTTTATGGACTGAAATTTATATTATGTGTATTTAAAAAGGGCAGTAAAAGTTCATCCAACCAGCCAAATGAGGAATGTGACTTACCAAATATTGCATTCTGAAATTGCAATTATGCTAACATTAATATTGTAATGAAGTCTGTGACTTAATATAATCTACAGCTGCAGTTGATGCCATGCACAGTGATACTATAAATCTCAAAGCGTCCCATGAATGTTGTTTAGATTTTTAAGGAACTTTGTGTCACTTGCCACTTTAACTGGTTTAAAGTGAGTAATTATCAGCAACACCATCACCCTGAAAATGCTTATATTCTTCAGTTTTTAATAGGTTAGATTACTGTAAAAGCATATTTAGAGGTGCAGCTCTACACCAAGAAAAGTAAGCATTTTACAGCTCTGCCCAGATCACTGCCCCAGTATTAACATTTGTTAAAATATTGCTTTTCATAGGCAAGGCATCCTCAAGTCATCAGAGTTCCGTCAGTTTCTGATGTCATCAACTCGAAAAGCAATTCACTGTAAGCATTGTTCAAAAAGGCCAACAAACATTACTAACAAACTGCTTACTGTAAAGACGTGCAAGCACTTCATTTCTGTGAGGCACTTTTAAACGTGTCTGGTGTAACAAATGAAGAAATAAGTGCCGATTTAAAGGCGTAGTTTGCTATTACGAATGCCTATTTATTCGAAATAGATCTAGAGTATTACATGTCAGTTTTTTCTTCTTCATGCCAATAACAATGAACACATTTTGATTTGTAAGGCTTTTAATTTCTACATAACTTCATTAGACCAGCTGGGTTTGTCTATCACTGTTGTCAATATTAGCTAGTGTGACTTAAACAATTTAACGCTGTATTTATTATTCTTTGACCAAAAGAAATCGGCTTGAATGATTCATAAGACGTCTTTAATCCAGTGTATGCAACCAAATAATAACGTGAACGCGAAAGTAATACAACTTTTATTCAAACAATAACCAGCTAAGCTAGGCCAATGCCTTTCTCGTATAACTGAAACTAGCTAGCTAATTATTGTTACCTCTTTCCAATCGCACAGGCTCCCCAAGAGATGCCATTCTCCAAAACAGAATTTGGACGATGTTAGATTGTTATGCCGCTTTGGGGAATATAAGGAAAACGAAATTTGGTAATCCTGGTGAACGTTTCGTGCGCTTAACTGAGACGATAAATCAGATTAGCTCTGTTAGCACTGCTAGGCTAGCTGCCAGTGTTACGTTGCGTTCAGGTGAGCCTCGAACAGAGGACAACTCCGAGAAAAAAAATAATGTTTTTGCCGGCTTTATTTGTAAGTGATTTCCATTTTCTGCACAGAAGTGTCTTTAATTGTTTATTAGATAAAGTATCAATTTTGACTCGTGCAAAACTGTTCTTTAAACCAAACATGATGCATTTGAATCAATATTTGTTGTTCAGCTATTCTGTTCTTCCTTTTTCTCCTTCCATCTCTGCCATGTCTTCTTTGGAATAGAGGTAAATATTAGAGTTTATTCTATTAAAATGGAGCCCTCAGGAAAAAAAATTGGATTTTCGCACAGAGGTAGATTAGTTTCTTTACTGCCCTCCTGTGGCTAATTGTAGCATTGCTCTAGGATCTAACCCATCAGTGGTGCTTCTGCTGCACTGCTCTCTCTCTCTGTACGTCAAATTTGGAGCATGATTCAGTTCTGACCACACCCCATCTAGTGATGAAACGCACACAAAATAAGTTTGCTAAAGTTCCGTAACATTGTTGACTGGGAAATGTGTTTAGCCTAACATAATTTCAAATCTGTGCAGCAGTTGTGATTTTTTGTTCATCTTTGAGATTGTTTTAATTTCTTCAGGTACTGCCCCAGCTCAAAAAAATAGACAAAAACAAAACACCATATCTTGACGTAGTAATTGTTCTGTGCTATATTTGAATATTACTATATTTCTGTCATTCAAACAGGGGCCTCTCTCTGACAACTGTCATCAAGAAGTATGTAATTAGAGCATGCCAGTTTTCTTTCACTTGTAAATTGTTGCGACAAAAACAGCCTGAGGTTCATACTCCTGGGAATTGGAGCACCTACCTTATGGAGTAAGAGTCTCCGTGTTTGATTCACTGTTCCTGTTTTTTTTTTTTTTTCTTTGCTAGGGATGTGTTTGTACTTGAATTTGACAAAATACGCTTCAGCTCCGTCTCAGTGAGAAATATCTTTGAGAGCACATGGCTTTTCTTCTCGCATCAAAATGGCTTTATGGCCACGATGAGAAACCTTTTTCTTAGAGACTAAACTTCATGTCATCTGGTATTGCTGAAGGATCCTTCCAGGAGAAGTTGACAGACTCTTCTTTTATATTCAGCGGCAACACTTACCTTTCAGTTGAAAAGAATATATTAAGTGATTGGGATCTGGAGGCTCTTGATGATAATGAAAAAAATAAACATGGTATTTCCAAAATTTCTCATGCAGAGGATAAATACAGTCTACTTCTGTTCCAGTAAAAACCATAAACTGTGACGTCTAGACTTGGCATGTAATGCTGTGAGGTATTTCTGCTGGTGGGAATGTATCAGTCGTCTCCCAGATGTCAAGGATGGCTTTTCCTTTTGCTTACACTGAGCATGAGAGCTGGGTAAGATCAGTGACAACTGCTCTGCTGAAAATGATTCAAACATGGGATTACCTTGAACTCAGAAGAAAATCTTGGGTGTATATCTATAATGTACACAAATGTATGGGTGGCTGAATCCATCACTGTCGACCTCAGACATGCCCGATGTGTACTCAAACACTTCTTCTACTAGTCTGCACTTGAAGCTGCAGGCATGTTTTTCCTGATGTTTCTCACTCTCAAGTTGAGTGATCCATGGAAAAAAATATATTAAAATATATAAAATTTAATTTATTTAAGTTGCTTTACTGTGTTGGAAGAGAGCGTTCGCTCCATTTGTCACCAAAGACCGTTTTCTTACTTTCCCTATTTTTCCACGATTGTCTTCCTGCAGCTTGAACAAAAAAAAAAACAACAACAAAAAAATCCCTCTGAAGTAGCTTTGCAGGTGGTCATGAAATGTGTTGGTTTTGTCAAAAACATACCTTTTTTGTGTAACATACCAGTATTCCCCTTCTCAGCTGTTCGCAAACTAATCTACCTAAAGATGCACTGTTGAAACTGTATCGACATTGATTGTGTTTTTTCAGTTGCCTATAGTCATTTTTATTTCTTCAAATATTTCAGTTTAATATTGCAAACAACTTCACAACATACAAAATGAATATTAACCCAGAAACATGTCAATGTTTATATATATATATATATATATATATATATATATATATATATATATATATATGCTTTTTAAATATATCTTTTCCTCTGGTGGGGATAAAAAAATAAACAGCAAAGCTTTGACAACAGCACCTTGACATAGTATGTAATTCCAACATTACCTTGAGAAGTTTAGAACAGTAAACAGATAATTTTACTTGAGAGGAATCTTCTGTTGAATATGTGAGCTGAATGATTTTTTTTTTCTTTTTTGGTCAGCATCATATCCTTTTTTTTGGGTTTTTTTCTTTGAAAGTGGAGAATTTCTGAATTCACAATTGAAAGCAGCATGCAAGCTTTTGAAGATGGAACTGTCCTCTCTCATTCCTTGCCCGTGTTTTTTTTTTCCTTCATTTTCTAATTCTTGGCAACGTAAACAGATCACAATGTCTCCTTCAATGTGATATAGTAATTTAAACTGGGCGCAAATGACTGATCAGATTTTTTTTAATTGTTTACAAGGTCATGAATATGTTCAATAAATAGACTGTAGTATCACTTTACTGTATAAACTTCATCTTTTTTTACATGCAGTCCATAAAATTTTCATTTGACGGAATAATTTACCCTGTTATGTATATATACAAATAGATATTTTCTCTTTATTCTCTTTTTTAAACTCTTCAATAAAATCTATACATTTTATACACTATCTCCCTCTTTTAATGGTCAATGTGCATACACATGAAGTGTCTATCCTTATAAACCGCCAGCCAATCTTCTTTTTGCTATCCATGGTGAGCGCTCGCACGTAGGACTGGGTTGTCCTGCATTGGGATGTATAATGCCGCTTGTCTATTCCTCTGCAGCCGTCCTTTGTGTACCCCATGGGGTTGCATTTGGTCTCATAAAAGTATTGCTTCAGTTGACCATTGGGGACAGGGACCTTCTCCATGACGGTTACTGTCTGCCCAGACATGTCTATCGCCGTCTTTTTATCCACAGCTGTCACCCACTGGCTAATACTGTCACACACACTGAGCTCTCCACGCCGCGAGGGGTCGGAGTGCCGCCGCACCCTCATGGACATGTTCGCAGCATCCAGATAGTTTTTGTATTCCTCCAGGAGAAAGAGCAACGGCGGCTCCAAAGGCACTTGGTTGCTGATCATCACCCGCGAGTTGTACAGGTCGACATCCTTGGCCTCTGCGGTGGCCACGGGCGACGGGCCCCCACCTCCCTGGCTCTTGTCGGCCCCCTGTCCCAGCTGCGCCGCCTCACCCTCCACCTCCAGCAGCTCCTCTATCACCTGCTCGAACGTGTCTGTGAGCGAGGGGAGCTCCTCGCGCTGGCCCGGCCCGCCGCCACTCTGTGGAGTCCCATGGCCTCGGGGGGCCGTCGCAGCAGCGCCCAGGTAGCCTTCCGTCCGATGGCCCCGCATGCCCGGGGCGTCTCTCAGGGGCGCAGCTCTCATGCAACTGAAGTATGAAATAACCATAGTAAGGAACAGGATGGTCATCACTCTTCTAACCTGGTGGAACTGGAGGGAGAACAGAAAGAGGGAAGAGGACAAGACGGTTAGTGAAAGAGTATTTCTCCCAAAGCTAGCCCCTTCTTGATCATTAATGCATCACTTAATCCTTTTTTAACACCCACAACTCTTTGTTTGCATGCCAAAAAGAGAGCGCTTTAGAAATACCACAACATGTTTTTATCAAACTGATAATGGCACCGTGTCATCAGTGCTTTCAAACTGTTTGCAAACTGTAAATCTATGTGAGGTCTGGCTTAGATTTCAATTTGTTGGCAGCAAGCGCACCAAAGCTGTGCTGAGCATCAGAGAGATGAGAGCGAGAGAGAGAAAGAGAGACTGCTTATTATTAAAGATAAGAGTGCGCAAATAGATGCTTGAAACATCCTAACAGGCTTGCTATTATTTATGAAGGGGTGTGTTACAGGGTACAGTGAGGAATGTGCAGGCATGTGTGGTTTTATAATGGCCCCAGCTATCACTCACCCTTTCTGCATCGGTAACTGTCTTGTTTTAAAAGCTCACACTGTGTGTACTCTTTTTTAGCCTCGTTCTGGTAGTTGGAGTGGTTGTTTAAAGCCCAACAAACAAGAACTCCCCAGCATCAACATCTCAGTAACCTCTCACATGACCAGCATCTGCTGACAGACTGAGAAGAGCGGCTAATATTGTGTTTATTTCAGCTTTGGCAAACATTGCCGCTGCACTGCTACACTGTTTGCACTACAAACTGGTCTGCACAGCAAGACCAGTCTGACACCAAACCTTGTGGCCATGAATGAGGAGCTTGAGGTCTGTTTTTAGGAGGCCTGGATCCACCAGAGACAGATTCACACATAGCAGATGTCTCAGACTCTAGGCTTCCAGGGTTACTGTCCTGCAACTTCTGTTGCAATCCACCTGAACCAAAGAATTAGGTCATTAGCAACCCTCTGCAGAACATGGCTGCTTACTGAAAGACCGGGGAGACACTGAGAGATTGCTGGAGACCAGCTCTGGAGGGCTGGAGTTTGAGACTCCTGCTGTACACCAACCTTCTCAAAGAGTCACAACGTAACCATTGTGCCACAACAGACAAAGAGAAAATGCTGAATACACATCCATAATTATTGAACTGCCTGAGCACGTTTGCATCCCTTACCTCCAAGAAGCTCTAAGACTCACAGCGGATCAATGAGCTGGTGAACATCCGACAGCCTGAGACATTAAAGCAACCATAAATATTTTGAAAAAAATAAAAATAAAAAATAAAAAATCTAGATCTTGTTTTCCACTGGGACTCATTTAAAAATAGCCTGGCTGATGCTTTGACTGCACTCCGCATGTCCCAAACCTGACACGGCCAAAACAAGGCGAGCAAGCCCACTCCCTGTATCCACTGAGGATGGACACAAGACCTATCCAGTAGGAAGAAGAAGAAAAAACACATCCCCACCTTAAAAGCATTTGTTTCTTTCTTAATTGGTATCTGGGGCTGTGGCTGCAATTAACCGACACCACGGTGAGTGCCATAGAGATATCGCTGCTAAAAATAGACGTGCAGGGAGTCTCACAGTCTCTATTCAGAATATCACATCCTTCTTCTTAATGAGCCACTCATTCCCTGAGCTCAGTGACGTGCTCTTCCAGAGTGTGAGTGTGTGAGATAGAGGGAGGGCATGGGGAGGGGCTGGCTTCTGCGCGTGTATGTGTGTGTGTGTGTGTGTGTAAGGATGGGGGTATTTTTTTTTTTAATCTTCGCAACTAAAACAACAATGGGGGCAAAGGCCTTGGATAAAGAGCTAATTATCAAATTATCACTGCGGATTGATAATAAGTCCCGCCGATCGTTTCAAGCAATATTCCCGTTCACATGTCGAGGGTTTTCAGTGGAGATTTCCCAGCACAGAGAGAATCATCTAGGTTTACGGGATCGAGGCCAGTCACGAGCTTTATGTGTAGGATGCATTTAGGCTGATATTATTATCAGCATTGCGCTCAAGTGGTTCCACTTCCACATGAGGGGAAATGACGGCAGAAAGCAAGGGGCTGATTACTGTCAGGCGTCAAACTTCATGCTGGAAATGGTGCAGACGAGGAGTGCTGCATCTTCCGTAAGAGACCACAGGGGTAATGTTGCAGTAGCAGGGGCGGGTGGGGTAGGCTAGGGTAGGGTAGGGTGGTGGAGAGAGTGCCAGCGTCATTTCGCAGCATAACAACCGCGGATGACGTCTCTTCCAGGTCTCCATAGGGGAGAGGATGGAGGGGAGGAGGTTGCTGGGGGTAATGCCACTCAACAGTGCGCAATTGCCTGCCTTTCCCCTGGGTATCCTCACACCGGGAACAACAGATGATTTTATTTCTATCTCTGTGATTTCCTGTTTCCATCAGGACAATCAATATGGCTTACGCTCTCAATCAACATCCTGTTAAAGCGTGATAAAGCCAATGAATCATTTAATTGCTGTGGGACCAGTGGAGAATCGGCACCTTGCATCTGCAAAAGAGACTAAATGTGACAAATACAATAATTCAGTGTTAACACAATGAGGATGAGTAACACAGCTAGACGGGAATTAAAAACAGGGCCATTAGATGGCAGCTCCCTGAGTGAAGTACAACCTCCTCCAACCCAGACTGATTAAAACACCATTTTAAAATGAAAGTTCAGGTAAGCACACAGTGAAGTGAAGTTTCATCTAAAGGCTCCGGCCATCTAAATATGAGTCCTGGGCTAATAACTTAGAGCAAAGGGGAAATAAAGGCAGGCAATAACTGCTGTTTAAACACGCCTTTATCTATGACACCACACCCCGAACAATGGAAGCAGGTGAGTGTTTGGCCTTGACGTCTCCAGATGACCACCTGTTCATCCACTCAGAGAGAGACAGAGAGAGAAAGAACGCGACTGTATGGCAGGGATGTGTAACTTACCCTCGCCTTCATTCTCCGTGCCAGGTGGGGATTAAAGTGATAAATGCCTCCTTTGACAGTCGCTGAAAAGTTTCTCCAAAGCATGAAAGGACTAGTAAAGGCCGGTATTATTGCACATTCAGTAGCGTTCCCTCGTGTCAGCACACTTTATGGCTTCATCCCTGCCAACTGCATGCAGGATACCTTAAAAGCCATTACAAAGCAACATAAACAGCAGCAGTGGAGATGAAAGGACGAAGTGTGCCCTGCGTATTTCAATAGAAATGTGCGCAGCGTTGACTCTTTGCCTCCCACCACAGTTCCCCCATGGGCATACGTCTTTCTTTAATTCCTCCAGAACTGTGGCGGGCAAAACTATTAACTCAGAAGCTATCTTTTTTCTTTTTTTCATACTCAACATGCACAGCCCCACGGTTCCAAATCCTTCAAGTTTTCCTGAAGAAAACTGCAAATATTATCACCCAAGAACCCCCTTATGTGCCACAATGCAGCACTTAAAAAGGCATTCAGACTTAATTGAGTTGTCTGCAGTAATGGCTGACACATGTGGAAGCTTGCTTTTCCTGAGCTCTGTTTTCAATCCAACGCAAGATTTGGAGCACGTTTAGTAATAGATGAGCTTCGCCATAGATCATACCTGCCTCCTGCCACAGAAACGGAGAGGAATCCAAACACACACTGAGTGATTTATGCTACCCAAATTCGTCGCCTCCTCTACCCCACTCTTTTTATCCTTTGATTTTTAAGCTGACTCTCACATTAAGTGACTGATGCAGCTTATGTGTTAATGCACAAAGCTTCCTGTGAAGCCTGTACGATAAAAAAAAAAGAAATCTATAATTCATTTTAACCCCTGGACAGTGAAACCCAACCACTGAGACCAGAACCAAGAGGCCTTTAGATTGGAATGAAGATGGCTGCAATTCTCATACGCTTACACTAGATGGCGTGTGAGACCGTGAAATAATCAGCGCTTCAGCTCTTGCGCCTCATGTTTTACCTTCCCACAGACAGACAGACAGACAGACAGACAGACAGACAGACAGATAGATAGATAGATAGATAGATAGATAGATAGATAGATAGATAGATAGATAGATAGATAGATAGATAGATAGATCTCTACTTCCAGGTTTAATCTTGCAGTCTCCAGTTGCAATTTATTTTTCCCACTAAGCTGTCACCAATGTGGTCAGTTGTTTTCCAACACTTTGGATTTCTTTGTTGTTTATGTCGTGAAGTTACTTAGTACCACCACACCACACTGAAGCCAACAGTTTAAGTTGGCCGCAGCAGGGCGTTTTTGGGTCTCGGGTGTCCTATAAAGTCTTAATGAGTCCATCAATTTTTTTTTATTTTTTTCCCCCCCCTTCTTCCCCCCCCCCCTTTTACAGAAACAACAAACTAAAACCGCGGCAAATGATTCATTTCAGACCACGGCGGAGGAGAGTATTTATAATGAGCGGAAACAGATAAATACTGACTTTCTTGAGCTGTAAGAGGTTTAAACCGCAGTAAAATGCGAAAACTTGGCGGGTTTCACGCACACGCAGTTTAGTACAATAGTCTGCTTTATTAATGGAATGAAACTGCTGGGCTTTTTGCATGAGATTACATCTCCTGAGCCTGTGCTCTCCGCTGGAAACCCAATCAACATAATAAGTGCGTTTTTTATTAATGAACGGCAGGATAAGGTTACACATATCCCTTCTCGGGCCGCGGCGCTGTCTGTTCGCAGGATAACTGGACTTGATCGAGCTACTTTTAGAGCCCCCCTCCCTTCCCCATCTCACCTCACATACACGCATATACACACACTGTCTGCCCCCCCTCCCCCCCCTTTTTTTATTTTTCTATCTCAGGAGGAATAAAACACATTCAAAGTAGTTCAAACTTATTCTGGTAAAGCAAAACAAAAAGAACAACCCCCCCCCCACACACACACACAAAACCCTCAGCCTACCTTTTACTGCCCAGTCGTAAAACAGACCATTCAACAGGATTGTGGTGTCATCTGGGATGTTTTGGACAACTCCCTCAGTAATTTGCTTCAGAGGTGTTTTCCTCTCTGCAACTCTCCCGACAGGGGGAAAAAAAAAGAAAAAAAAAAAGAAAGAAGAAGCTTCGGGATATCTCTTCAGCTTTGGAGCAAATAGATTAAATTATTGATGGTGGAAATTGCACGGCTGAGGTAATGCACTCCCATGGCTGCGCGGCTCGTTTGCGGAGATCGTCTGAAAGCGAAGTTGTCGCATGCCGAAGACGCAGCAGAGGCAGCGGCAGCAACTGCAGCAGCAACGGGGATGAGGAGACCTCTGGAGCTGAAATGAGGAGCCTCTTTGAAACTACTGTAACTTTACTACACAATGACGCTGCAACATGTGACCTGCCGCTGGCTGACTGGTCGCCGCAGAACTGCTGTCTAAACAGCCCACAGCCGAAGCTGTTAATGCGCTTCCAGCGTGCATTACGCGCTTTTGTTTGTCCTCAAACCGTGCAGCCTGGGTCCACGCCATAATGTCTGGGTAGATTACAAAGCAACACCGAAGCCTCTCCTCTTCCGTATATATATTTTTTCTTGGTCGGTTTTTTTTTATTTTTATTTTTTAGACAGTCTATGGAGGAGGAATATTTTTGTGGGGGTTTTGCGTAACAGCGCGTCTCAAGTCGTGATACACTACGTGCCATTTAAAGACGCCCTATTTGAGTAAAATTAGATATCCAGATGGTTAAAATAAGCATTTTCATGTTGGCATCTGCACACAGTGAGAGGGCTGGGTGAAGAGTTAGACTATTTCTTAATGGTTTTGGACGTTTTTATGCCACCTTAACCAACTAACGTTTCTCAGAATTCTCAATAGTGTTCCCATTAGTCATATCCTGCTACATTAAAATATGAAAACCACACAGTAAATTCGTCTTATTTTTTTTATTTTTTTATTTTTTGGTCTTTAGGAGAGCAATATCTCAAAGAAACTCTGGCTGATGCTCTTCAGCAGGCAGAGTAGGTTATTCTAACCAAATGTAACCTAAACAAAGCTTTAGAACAGCTCTGGTTCCTTAATACTTCGCCCACATATGAAACAGACTGGGAACAATTCACCATCTTCATCAACTGGATCCAAATGAAGATGTCAGTGGAGGCCAGGTTGTTCAATGGTGGTGATGAACACTTGGAAATTCCACCTCAGATGAACACAAGAGAGAGAGAGAGAGAGAGAGCATACTGGAGGGATAGCTAGTTATCCCCCTGGCTTGGCCCCAGTCTGGTGCAAAGATTAATTGTGATGCGCTTTGCTGTATTGCCATCATGATTTTTCCCTGCATGGAGCTCTTGTTTGGCATGCGGCAGTATGGGAGTGGATGCTCACACCTGCTTAATGAGTCACTCCCACCTCCAACACACCCGGGGACATGCCAGGATAGATATAGCCCTCCCCGAAGGCACACAGGAGATGAGGGCAAACTCTGGATGACAAAGAGTTGCATCAGCAATCACTGAGCGACATGACTCCAAAGAGGGTTTTACAGAAAAGAGAAAAATGCACTCCGCACAAGGGGGCTGTTCCAAACAAGCAATTCATAAATAAATCACTTGGCATCTCATTAGAGGAGTCAAAACAACAACATGGTCTCTCTTACGTTTTTTTTTTTTCTTTTTTTGCAACTACAACACTACTGAAGGTGGTTCATCATGAGAAGGTTCAGTCTGGGATTTCTGAATGAAAACAAGGAACAATGAGCCTCTTTTTCACCGGTCACATAGAAATCTATAATAAGGAAATCAACTACATTCTTCTGCTTGATATGAGATGTTGGACTTCTTGAGATACAGAATCTCTCAGCACTCCGTTTTTTTTTTTTTGAATGAGGTCTTCTGTCTTTGCGGGTCTTAGGAGCTGGATTCTGACTTCATACCATGCACAAGAACTGACAACGCCACACGCCTGTACAACCTTTCAAGGCTCCTCTTGCCAATGGCAGCTTGAAGCTGACAGGTCCACACCACCAAAAGCTCCACTTAACAAGTAGAATTATGCCTCCTTGTGCAAGAGGGGGGAGCGGGGGAAAGAGCCGTGTAACACAGGCGAAATGACATTTTGTGAAATGTCATTTTCGCTGGGGATAAAGGGAGGCGACGAGGGTATTTTGATCAAAGTGGAATTGCATTCCTGCTCAAGGAGCAAACACGTCAACTAGGGAAACATTTTGTAAGAGGCCGAGTGACGTCAAACGAGTTGAGAGCCAAAGCTGGAGAAGACTATGAGGGAGCTTGACAAACCCAGTCAACTGGGTCCTTTAAACGGATGCTGAAGTCAGGAGCTAATGTCATCCCTCCTGTGATGACAATAACCTTTAATGTAATCATGAGGCAGCCACAGCAGACTAGTTTTCTAAGCCTCAGATATACCCCACCTCAGAAACACACACACACACACACACACACACACCATCATGCAGGGGATACATTACTTCTATCCTGTTAAACCCTGTCTGTCCCTTCTCAACGTCCAACAAGGTTTCTATGAATGAAAACTCACAAATCGTACCATACTAGTCTCTTGGAAGTGTTGAAGTGTCTGTTATGAGCACAAATATGGTTTGTTATTCAAATCTGCTGGTAAATCAAGGATGTGTTGCAATTTGAACTTGTCTGCCTTGCTTTCTTTTTGGGGGTTTTAAATTAATCTGAATGAACTTTCATACTTTTATGTTTTGCAGGAGTTGCTTGAATCCAGTGCTGCATGGTCACCTGCTGGGAGACACACGTGAATGGTTTACTGGCATCATGCAGGTCTCTCTCTCTCTCTCTCTCTCTCTCCTTCTCTCTCACACACACCCACACACACGCGCATACACACCACATCGTGAATCCTTGTTGTCCCGCAGTGCTCCGAAGCTAAATATCTTAACTATTACTCCACTGTGTATTAATAACTAATCGTGTATTTTTCTTTTCTTTTCTTTTTTTTTGTCGACGTGAAACCCACAATCACGCCACTAAATGACGATAATTAAAGATGCAAAATAAGGTGCAGAGCTTTGCCTCCTTGCCAGAACTTGTTTGAGCAAGTCTGTTAATTGGACGGAGGTGCTGGTGATGATGAAGATGATGGTGCCGTGACTAAAGCAGAAGCACCGCGGTGGCGGCGCGGCGGCGCGGCGGGCGGTGCTGCCTACATTTCCATAACGATCAAGATTATTAATTTTAGCTCTAAATATATCGTGACGTCCGCTAAGCCGTGAGCTGAGATTTCCGCCCAAAATAATCAATATCCTATTTATTATTTGCATGAGACATCAGCCCGGATTAAAGGACTGGCATTTCATGAATGAAAACGTTGCGGCAACGTGGGCAGTCACGTTCCAAGTTTGATCAAAATGTGAGAATCACATCTAAATTCAAATCAACATTTTTGCGCCGACTTGATCACAAAACAAGGCCCATATTTGCATTAACATAAAAAAAATAGATGGAAAAACAAAAATTATTTAACACAACATTTTTCTTTGCGCGCATTTCTATGCAGGCCTACCGAGAGATTTTATTCTGATTTATTTCTTTTTATTATCATTATTATTATTATTATTATTATTATTATTATTTTGCAATGAAACCTACCATCAGGTTTGTTATTGACGCCCACCCCAACTCTGCAGAGCTGAGAGTGCACAGAGAGAGAGGCAGAGAGAAAGAGAAAGAGAAAGAGAGAGAGAGGGAGAGAGAGAGGGGGGAGATTCTCGGTAAAGATAACACACGCGGAGACGCACGCACACAGGCGCGAGCGCAAGCGGGAGCACGCCCGCACACAAGCGCACGCAGCCCCATTTATGGACTGATCCGCTGACGTACATTGCAGAAAAGTGCTATAAAAAAACCTTCATACATACAAAGTGTGTCGTGCCACCCCACAGACCCCTCCTTACCCGCCTCCGCTCATCCCTCCTCCTCCACCCAACACGCCCACGCCCACACCATAATCCCACGTCTCAGTTGAAATAGGAGGAGGAGGGGGGTGAGAGAGAAAAATAAAAATAAAAATACTGCTACATGACTGGGAAATATGCTGGGGAAATATTAGATTCAAAAACAAGGCCGAGAAATCCGATGCAATGTTAATATTAACAAAACATGATGCATCGGTGAATAATAATAGTAATAATCATAATAATAAAAAAGGCCGAAGATTTATTTAAAGTGCCACAGTTTTAAGACCTGATTTTGTTGTAATCTGAAGCCTGCGACGCGTCTTGATTAAACGAGTGCCTTTATGAGTGTCGGGCAGCCTCATAAGTAATATGATCTATTTTTGGTTTCAGTGTCTAAAAGGCGTCAGTGTGCAGAAACCGATCTGCTCGCGCTAATTGCATTGCTGGGTAAAAAAGAAATGGAAAGAAAAGAAAAGAAAAAAAAATATACCGAAAACGCCGACGGAAAACACCCATATTTTAAATGCAATTAGGAATTTACTGGACGCGCTCATATTTATATGAGGACGCATCCTGGAACGAGGAGTCTTGATTAAAACAGGGCGTTAGGAGGAGATGATGGGGGAGGCGGGGGAAGGGTTCTCCTCCTCTTTCTGTTGTTTTTGCCATGCAATTGCTTCGTCTTGGATCAGAAATCTTAAATCTTTGAGCAAATGAAAAAAAGAGAAAAAAAAAGATGACTGAGAAAGAGACAGGGAGCGAGAAAGAGGGAGAGATGTGAAGAGTGGTAGTGGAGGGAAGGGAAGGGGGTGGGGGGGAAATAGGCAATATCCACAGATTCTGTGCAAGACGATTTTTAAGGCTACAAGTCGTCCAAGAAGGGAAGAGAGAGAGAGAGAGAGAGAG